CCACTGGGCTAGAGCAAAACCAGTGTACAAATGCTACAAGTGTATTTCTCTTAGTCTCAAAAGTGCTAAAAGATTTCCTCAATATCTTATATGAAGCATGTTAGTAAATATTAGGCAAGTGGGTCAGAGCAGCAGTCTATTGAACAGCATTGTTGAACTATACTGGAAAGTCCTAGTTGTTCATCAAGAGCCTGGAAGTACTGGCCTGTCATGCAAAGATTGCAGCAACAACTCAGTAGGAATGAAGTTGTCTGGGGAGTAGTGAGATATCAGATAAGTTGTAGAGTTGCGAGGTTACTGTTATAGTGACCCTATCACAGTAGAGCAACAAAATTCTGTTTGTTGTTTTTTTTGTTCAGTCACTTCTGACTCTTTGTGACCCCATGGACCAGCCCACACTAGAGCTCCCTGTCAGCCGTCACCACCCCAAACTTCTTCAAGGTCAAGTCATCCATTTTGCCCTTGATCAGCCCCTCTTCCTTTTTCCTTCCATTTCCCCCATCATCATCAACTTCTCCAAGCTTTCCTGTCTTCTTATTAGGCCTGGGTAACAACGCAAAAATTTGTTTCTAAAATCGATTTGTATTTGGGGGGTTTTTGCATTTCGATATTTAAAATAATTACAAAATTTTCCTTTGAAAAAGTTCAGTATTTACGAAATTTCGTTAATTTCGTTTTTAGAATATTTTTTGAATTTTTTTGAAATATTTATTTATAAATATTTTTTGAAATATTTAAAAATGGAAAATTAACAATGCTTGCCCTGTTGTGGAGCGAACACAGCCACAGGACAGGGACAAACTCACACACACAGGCACACAAGGGTCTTTTCTTTTTTTAGAATATTTTTTGAATTTTTTTAAGAATAAAAGAAATATATTTTTCAGAAATATTTAAAAATGGAAAATTAACAAAATGCTTGCCCTGCCCTGTTGTGGGGCGAAAACAGGGCAAAGCCTCCCCGCTGCTCCCAGCAATGAATGAATGAATGAATGCAAGCACAAGCAATGAATGAATGAATGCAAGCAAGCAGCCAAGAGCCAACCATCAAGCCTCCCTCCCGCACCTCCCGTCTCCTTCGCAATGAGCAATGCGGCCACGCGGAGCCGCTTTTAAAGGGCAGCCCGCCCAATAACAATGAGCCACGGTGCTTGGGAGCGCCGGATTGGCTCCCGGCGCACCCAGCATCCTCCATCCCTAAAACGTCATTTCTGAAACGGGTGGAAGCCCGTAAAAAAGATGGAGGATGCCGTTTCGATATTTAAAAACACTTCCGGGTTTGAAAATATGTTTTGTAATCGTTTTGTAATTGTTAAAAATAACGAATATTTAACGAATTACAAAATTAACGAACGAAACCGCCCAGGCCTACTTCTTATTCATCTTTGCCTCTAATATCCTTCTTTCCAGGGAGCAGTCAGGAATTATTTGCTGGAGTATGGACTGGTTTGATTTTGCAGATCCAAGGCCCTCTCAGAATTTTTCTCCAACACCTCTCTGGCATGACCTTCCCTTCTTGGGTGTCCCTTTGCGGTTTTGCTCATGGTGTCATTGAGGTGCTCAAGCTCCAGCACCACACAAAGTAACAATCCTTTGCAGGAGGCAGAAAATGGATTTCAAGTGGATCCATGCCCTAGTGTGATGAGGTAATTGATCTTTATTTGCCAAAATGTGATGGATTGAACTGATTTTAGTATGGTATCCTCATTATCAGATCTCAGCACTTGGAAATTAACCAGATACTTCATCAGACTCTCTAAGAAGTGTGGTGTCAAGTTCTAAAGGAATATAAGTGACTTTCCCCTTGGAGTGCCTAGCCAATTTGTCACAATCAGCAACTTCCTCTACTTGCCTCTTTGAACCTCATCTGTGCAACATGTCAGAGATGTAATGGTTGACACCTTTTTTGCTAGCCTCAACGCTACATAATAGACACAAGGAAGAGTTTTTGTTAATTACCACTTGTATTCACCCTGTGACCTATTGCCAACTGCAGTCTAGCTGCTGTCCAGCCTGTTCATTGCCTATAGATCTTCTGTAAACCAAGGTAAATAATGGACTCCACAGTACTGGTCCAGTTGTATCGATTCACTTTTTGCATTTCACAATTCCATAGAAACACTAAGTTAAAAAAACAAAAACAGCAGCCCTCTCAACCAGAAAATCCCCCAGGCATTCAAGTACCTTTCTGAACAGCTTTCCGCTTATCTCGATATGATCACGCAGCCTTCTCCTCATCTCAATACAGTTACTATCAAGATAAATATTGTGCTCTAAACATTCTGAGCAGACCATAGCAAAGTTTGAAGAAGATTTTTACTAGCAGATTCCTTTTCTTGTTTTCACTTTTCCAGAATAGAATACTATTAAGAAAATTGTGTGCCTGAGGCCTTATTTAACAAGCATTTTGGTCCATTGGTTTAACTTTTTTCCATTACAATTCCATTGGAATTTTGGCCACATAATGCCTTATAGGTTTCCCTGCTTAGTCTTTGAAGAATGCATTAACAGAATATATTAGTTGAGATCCTACACCAAGACATGTATGTCAATCGTGTAGCTGCATCTTTCAATGCTACCCGAAAAAAACCCCTTCTGCATTCCCAATCCATTCCCATGCTGCTGATAATGGAGAGATGTATCTAGCTATTTTCCTGTATGTGGATGCATTGTGACAGGCACCTCCAGAGGTCTCTGCAGATTGACTGAGTAACCTTCCTCCCTCCTCGAATATGATCCAAAGCAATATACAAGCAATTAAAAAACAGGGTATGACTTAAAATTATGTGTACAAAAACACTTAAACTTGTGTTTAGTTAAAAACACAAGTTGATTAAAATATAACACAACTCCATTAAAAATCCGATGTGTCATACCAATTATAAAGCAAAGGCCCACATCACTGAAATGCACTTTGCCAGCTAATGGAAGGAAAGAAAGAGACCGGGGGGGGGGGGGGGGGGGGGGGGTGATGACGACAAACAAGCTTCCTATGGCAGTGAATTCAACGACCTGGAATCAGCCATTAAGAAGGGACTCACACATATCCTCACCAAACATGACCACGATGAAACTGAGAGAAATCCTGATGATCTTAAAAATTCAGACAGGCTCACACATAGAAACACAGTTTTTCAGCATGGACCCAAGTTATCCACATAACATCCCTGCAATCATCTCCAGTTATATGAAAATAGCTGAACATGTCCCCACGCATCTTCCCTGCCGTCAATCTCCAGCACACAGAAGGGGACTGCATTGACCACAATGTCAGTTTGAGGGGTATGGGAGTGGATTTTGGTTATTGTATGGTTGGAACAGAATAGATCTCTCAAATACCCCCCTCCTCACGAAAATAGTTGCAATGGGCTTGAGCTAAAGTATTTTATGAACAAGATGCTAGCCACTGTCCACAAGTGCTCAGACTATTAAATCACATCTGTTCCTAATACAACTATGATAAAGAACATGCCGCTGCCAGTTTTAGAGTCTGAGGTGAAAAAAGTGGAGTGACAAGAAATTCAAGGTACAGCATATGTTGTATATAATATGAGCAGTGTTTCATAGCTTAGCTTTAGCCTTGGCTCTTTCTTATGTGACCAACCATTTCAGGAGTAAAATAAATCAGCAAATAAGCCTTGGGTTTTATTTCACTGCAGCCTTTTAAAATGACCCACTTGGGATAGGTTTCCTTTGCGTGCATCTTGCAAAGCTCAGCTTGTAAGCCAAGGGGGGCTCCTATGCCGGTAGTGCTCACTTGATAGCTCCAGCAGCTGGGCGAGAACTGCTTCTGTAGCCGGCTTTCATTAGCCTGCCCACCTGGAGGAGACTGAATTGGAAAAGGGCTTACTTGACACATATGGAGCAGGGAAGAGGGATGTACATTCAGTTCTTTTCAGTTTCTTTCCTTGGTCAGCAGACCTGAAAGCAATTTACATGTGGGGCTATGCTCCCCATCACCCAGACATCTGATCTCAGTCCCCAGTGTGGATTAAATGTGGTTATTGTTTTTTTTAAAAAACCCAAGTCCAGAATATTCCTGTCTCCCCGGTCCCCAACTGTGTGGATTTTGTTCTATAAAGGTGTTTCTATCGGGGTTAGCCTATGTTATTTTGATGCATTGAGTAAAGGCCAAGACTCTGTCATGCTTGTCTAGATACAAACTGGACTGACAAAATAATCTTCAATATTTTACAAGAGATAAACCTTCCTCTCATACCAGAAACAACACATCAGTTTAGGGGACCCAATCTATGCCCACAGACCTCTGTTCTCTATTCTTTAGAAGGGGAATCAAGAAGAACAGCAGGTTAATAATACTGTTCTCAGTACATGTGAATTTAATGGTGTGTGAGTGTCACCCCTCTCTATACATCAGTAAAACTATCCCTAATCTCCATCCCTCAGTGACAGATATTGGGCTGTCTTCCTGAAGCTTTTCAAGAGGCCATTTCAATCTTTGAAAAGGCATTTTATGTAGTTATCAAGATTTTTTATGTACAGTAGGACTACATTCAGTGAAGGGTACATCCACATTGCACAATTAAAGCTTTGATTCCACTTTAACTGTTGTGAAATTATAGACTTTAGACATGAACAAATTCCAATGCAGACTGCGCACATCCTATTTGAAGTGCAAAAAAAAAACCATGAAAAAATACAATGTTTAAAATGAGGAATAATTTTAACGAACATAAACATACCAGTATTTCAATGGGAAATGTGGGTCTGCTTTTGGTTGATGAGGTAATCAAGTTAATTAGGATTGTTGCTGTTATTGTTGTGTGCCATGAAGCCATTTCATGGTGACCCTATATCTGAAGTTTAGGGCAGAGATGGGTAAATGGCCTTGGAGGACCACATCCAGCCCACAAGCCTTAATTTGGGGTCCCCTGCTTTAGTGCATTGATTCCCATTCTGTGGAATACCATTCCAACTGCAGCCAGGCCTATGCCTAGATTTTTCTGCTTTTGGTCTCTTTTTAAAGAAGTATGTCTTGATTAAGAAATCCCAGTCGCTGTTTTTATTCATGTATGTTTCATCATACCATTTCAGATTTATTTGCTTCATCCTACTATATACTGCTGAAATCTGCAATATGAAGCAGTCTATCATGTGGATTCAATAAATATAGTCAAATTCAGTAAATACAGTCAAATTCAGTAAATAAAGACATGAAAACATAACAAAAATCATAAGTGTACATTATGGTGGAAGGCCCTGCCTCTGTTTAAGCCTTCTGGTGGGACGGGAGGCATTTTTTGTAAGGATTCAAGAAAAACAAGCAGCAAAACAACTCAAGTTACTTTTCCAGATTCACTGCCTTTTATATGCTTACCTCCCTAATTCTCTCATAAAAGCGTGAATCATTTGCATTCCAAAAGCAGGGAAGTGGTAAGCTGTTGTGCACCTCCTCCAGCTTTGCCTTGCCTTTGGTGGTGGTCACAGGTGCAGGCAGTTAACAAATGTAACACAGCAGGCTCTCCTTCGCCAAAGAGTGATAGAACCTTCTAGAACTCAGCTGGCGTACACACAGAATTAATAGAGGAGAAACCATGAACCTCTTCCTTGCCACCACACTCCCCACTTTTTGCCAGCCCTCATTTTCTTTTGAAATTGAGAACACACATTGAAGTCACTTTGAAGTCAAAGTCATAGAGTCTGCTTGAATGAGATATTATTGATTTCCATACAGCCTCCCCCTTTTTTTCCCACTGCAATGCGGATGTGCATTTTTCAAACATGTTTAAGACGGGGCTTTGATCTGTCTTGTTCACCAGAGCAATCTATAGATTAAAAGCAATTGCTTCGTCTGGACTTGGGTTTGTAGAAACGAAGGGTCGGCTTGTTTCCAAAGGGCCACGAACCTGAAAGCTCTTTTCAGCCTCTGTCAGCCTAAACTATTTTCTTGAATGAGGAAATCAAAGGTCACCCAACTGTCAAAACACACCAAAAATTAAACAGTCCTCTTAATGAATTAAACATAGAGAAGATAGTCGTAAGAAATAGACCCCCTGAACTATTTACCAAACACTAAAAGGCTCAATGTTTCTCTGAGCAAATTTTAAAAAACTCTATTACAAGACACAGAAAAACAGAGAAAGATCAATGCATTCACAGAATTCAGGATTTGAAAAAAAACCCACCCTCAAATCATGAGCTGTCAAATATCAAGCTGTGCAAATGCCAGTTCTCCAGATGGCTTCATAAATCTAGGAACTCATACATCATCCTTTCATGTTTTACATTTTAAGACAGATTTATTTATTTATTCCTTCTTCCATTTGTTTCCTCTTTGGGTAGATTACTGGCAAACTCTTAACTATCTCTTTTTTAGCTTGCAGTATGTGAACCTCTCTGCACACTTCTGGAAACAACCCATCTAGTCACCAGCAAGCTCCAAGCATGACTTCATCCTTCAGAACCAATTGCTGTGAAAAGAGCTACACAGGAAGGAGGACTGTACGACTATTTTTAAACACAGGGCCTGCCTCAGAGCTCAACACAGTGGTAAGAAAAGTTCAGTCATTCTGGGCCTCTCAGTGCATCCTCTCTTTCTCTTGGCTAGGTCTCCAGAAGGCAATTCCTGTTGAAAGAAAAGAAAAAGAAATAACATGGAGCAGAAAGACTTTATTTGTGCTCAGTGGCCATAATCCAACAGAGAGTAAAGCAAGCTGAAATCCATTGATTGGATCTGCACTTAATTCTCTCTTGGATTAGGCAATTCAAACGTGCAGGTGCTTACATCATACTTTTCTGTCTCTATAACTTTGGTCAGAGGCTATTATGCTTTTTCTACATCTGTCTTCACAGTTGGAAGGAGAAAATAAAAAGTTTTGTTACATAGAAAATATCTACTTTACATATACCCATAGAGGCCTTCTACAGCAAAGGATTACAGAGTGTCCATTTTTACAGGAGTCACCAAAAACTGATAGAATTTGCACAGTTTACAACATTTCCAGCATACGCTTGGGGGAAGGTAAACTGCCTGAAAAGCTTATTCTTAGGCCAGATGATTTCAGCTGACATTTTTCCAGTGTTTCTAAAATCTACAGATATACTCGCTGGAACACCTCAGCAAGTGAAAGTCCAAAAGTGGCAGGCTCAAACCCAGAACCTCAATCAATGGCTGATACCAAATGAGAGGCTCCCCCCTGAGCACATAGAAAACTGGGCAACTTGGAAGGCGCTGAACAGACTGCGCTCTGGCACCACGAGATGCAGAGCCAACCTTAAGATATGGGGCTACAAAGTGGAATCCTCAACATGCGAGTGTGGAGAAGAGCAAACTACAGACCACCTGCTGCAATGCAACCTGCACCCTTCCACATGCACAATGGAGGACCTTCTGGCAGCAATACCAGAGGCACTCCAAGTGGCCAGCTACTGGTCAAAGGACATTTCATCAACTACCAAGCTTGCAAACTTTGTGTTTTGTTTGTTAAAAAACAGTCTGCCCCTGACACGATAAATAAATGCCCAGTATTATGCTTTGGTGCAGCAATGTTTAAAGCAAATGGCATAATTTAAGATCAAAGATAGCTAGCAAGAGAATGATACTAGCTTGGCCAAAACTTCTCTATATTGGAAGTGCCCCAGTATGCAGGTACACACACACACACAAATTTCAATTCTGCACATATTCTCAAGTTGTATTTTCATACATTCTTCTATACATTCTACAAGACATTGCAAAAGAACTGTTAACTGCAACTTTGGGACAAAATTAAGCCCCTTCAAAGTTGTTTCTGTTGCCCTTAATTCCCTCTTTTTTCTCATTAAAAGGAGTGGGTTGGTAGGTGAAGTGCCTATCCTGGAAACCTTGAGAAGCAGTAAGCATTGTCTACCAACCCCCGAAGAACGACACGAGAAATAACGACACAACAACCATTTATTGGATTTAAATTGGGCAACTTTTATTTTTAACGTTACCTATTTAACTCTTAACTACCTCAAGGGTGTCAGGAACTGGCAAGCCTAACCCAGGTAGCAGCACTACCCGATAACAACAATTTCCGGGCGAAACACCTGGGTTCCGGTAATAAAACCAGATACCGTGAAGGGAAACGAATGAGGAGTCTGTCCCAAAGCTCTTGTATCCAGACTCCTTCCATTCGAGGCCATTCAACTGCACTTCACCCTTGAACTGGTGAATGCTCAACTTAATGGCCTGTCACCCCTTAAAGGGGTGCCCTAGGTGCACACCGACTAGAAGGAATTTCCCTAACTATTTACGCTCATCCTATTTAAACTAAGGCACGCCCCTCCATCTAGCCCCTAAACAGTATAGGGTAGGCAAAAAACCCCCCCACTAAAAATCAGCGAGAGGGAAAAAATTCCTACCCGGCTCCACAGGCAACCGTGAATTATACTGTTAATGGGCGGGAGTGGTGGGCCAACTTCCAGGCGCCGAATGCGCCCACTTGGGCACGGCCTGTACACAGGCCACGCCCCCAGCCGCTCTAGAAGGTTCGCTAGGAACCCCTCTTTCACCCGTGGGAGGCAGACAAATGTTTTTCCCCTCCCCATTGCTGGGGAGAGGAAAACTATTCTGCACAGAAAGAAAAGTACAGTAAGCACCTGTTGAGGAATGCTTATTGGATGTATTGGAACAGATATTTCTAGCATAGTTGGGATAGAATGAACAGTAGCAGGAAAATCCACTGGTGTGGTTGTGTCAAAAGCAGTGGCACAAAGGGGTTATTGTGATGGTGGTGATGTGTGTGTGCTCATGTGAGAGATGACCAAAGATCTGCAACCACATCCTTGCAAATCTGGACCACCTGGAGAGCTAGCATTGTAAATGCCCTGGTATTGGAAACATTAAAGCAGTGGATCTCAACTTCTGAGTCCCCAGGTGTTTTGGCCTACAACTCCCAGAAATCCCAGCCAGTTTATCAGCTGTTAGAATTTATGGGAGTTGAAGGCCGAAACATCTAGGGACCCAGAGGTTGAGAACCACTGCATTACAGTCTTCCTTTCTCCTTGTTTAAGTATAGTAGTAGGGCACCATGAATCTCCTTTCGCTGTAGTCTAACAGGAAAACTTTGTTTATTAGGAATAAGATCTAATGTTTCTAATACTATTTCTGTGAGAAGAACAATCTCTGGACTGAACTTTCGTTGTTGATGAATAGCAAATAGAATTCACCATCACACAAAACTCAAAAATTAGAGTTTTACAAAGGGCAGTTTATGGAAAGTGAAAGCACACAAGTTCAGTGAGCTTTGTAAAAAAAAAAAAAGACATTTTATACATGCATGATGGTTCATCTGTTAACAGTTGAAAAGAGATAAAGAAGGAGGATTAAACAGGGTTTTAAAAGTATAAAACACTTTATGGACCGAGATCTTTGTTAGGGTCTAAAATGGTAGTGAGGATGATCCTTGGGGATATAGGAGGCTTGGGGAAAAAATCAATTCTGGACAACTTCCTGATTCTTAAAGAAGATACCAAATGCATCTTTTCCTACTCCCACCATTAACTTACTCCACAACTATTGATAAGATTTCTACTTTTTATTGTGGATAATACTGTCAGTGGTATTGCATTTCCTCTACAATACCATTTGTAATATTACAAATCTGTCTTTACCAGTTCTCAGTAAAGGAAATTCAGCCTACATTAAAGCACAGTGCAACAGTAACAACCCAAAGTTTGATCAGATGCAAATACATTCATTAGAACAGTGGCTGAAGATGATGACATCCACTATTTAATGCATTTTTAAATTCAAAACTATTAAACAACAATCCCTTTAATATACTTGACCTTTAAAAGAGCAGCAGTACTGGGTTATGGTTTTGCTAAAAGGACATTGTAGACTCGTTTCTCTCTCTCTCTTTAGGTGTAAATGTGGGAATGTTGCCTTACACAAAAAAATTGTGGGTCTGCTAAAATGGATGGTGAAGTATAATGGGGGCTATATTCTCACATATGTAGAGGGCACAAGTTTAAGGAACCACACTGTTTTGAGGGTTTACCCTGTGGAATAGTGCAGTAATTATTACTGTTAGCATTACACATTGATTAATTAAAAACTACTTCCTTTGGGGGGGGGTTCAAGGCAGAGAAAGATCAAGAAAGAAACCATAAAGCATAATTTTTAAAACTTGCAATATAACAATAAACAAAGAGCAGAAAACAACATTGTACATCAATAAACTTAATTCATAGATCAGAAAGACTATAAAATAAAAAGGGGAAGATAGCAATCTCCTATCCAATCAGTTTCTTATAAGAGAAAGTTATTTCTTACCAGACAATCTTGAACCATCACTATCTATCTCACCAATGTGTTAGAAGGAAGGAGGAGTGTGGATGATGAGAAGTATTTAGTTGTCTATTGGAACTTAATGATTTTATTTTTATTTTTATTCTTATACTTATACTGTAAGAGTCCCATATCTGTAGTTTGGTGAAAATTGCAGAAAATAGCAAACTCTTTTGAATGAATAATTTCTGGCAGAAGTATATCATAGAGTTGTATCCGAAGAACTCGGAAATGCCTAGAGATGACGCCTTTTTAAATAGCACTAGGCCCTCCAACACAACTCTATTGTCAGGAAATTCCCGGAGAGAACAAATTTTGTCAGATGTCAGCAAATTGATGTGGGAGTCATGCTTGCAAAGCTATGTGTTTCCATTGATTTTATTGGTATCAAAATGGTACAGTCACCCCAGTCTCTTAAAAGGTGAAACCTTAGAGACACGGCCAGCAAAGTAACCAGGCATTTCTTGGTCTTTGACAAAACTAAAAAAGAAGTAGAAAAAATACAGAGAGCAGGTGCTCCAGTGGTGCTCCCAAAATGGAAAAGGAATTAGAAGTGAAGATGCAGGCTGGATAGTCCTATCATTAATATCTGCTTCTTTGATCTATGGTCAATTTTAAAAGGTAAGGGAAAAGTAAGCGGTGCATTTGCTTTGCCAAGCAGGCTAAGTGTTGCCTCTTTCCCAGTTATATGTAACCAAAGGTCTCCATTATCTTGGAAGTTCTTTCTTTGTGGGTAGATATCCCCCAATGTAGTGTTCAGATCAAGAAATGATTTGGGCTCCCAGCCAATCAGCATTCATAGGTAATACTGCTATTCCACTTATTGGTTGGTTAACATGAGCAAATCCTTTTCTTCTTGTTTAGGAATGAGGAACTGCTCTTCCATAGATTCCAAATGTAGAATCTACTGCAGGCTGCAGAATTGCATGTATGTAAAACAGCTTCATGCACAACCACAATGGACCACTGAACGCTTGACCACAGTTTCCAGTTTGTGTTCTCAAAGGGTCAAGAAGAGACAAGATAACTACTTTTAATGCTCATGCTAATGCTAGTTCTTTATTTTACTTTTCACTGTATTGATTTGCAGTGTATTACACAGAAGACTGTTACATCCCCAAAAGTCAGCACATATTCTTATAATAATTTTCAACCAGAAAGAAAGAGTGGGTGGATATATCTCCACGCTTCCATGCTTTTATCTATGTTATAACACTGACTTGTGCGTGGAGCAGCTAAGTATTTGTTTATTCTCTGTCCATTTAATGACAATCATTTTGAGAAGTATTTTAAAATGTCAAGATCTTTTATCAGGACAAGGGAAGTAAGAGCCACTTGCATTATTTACCAACAGATACCCACGAAATCAAGCTATGGTTTCCTCCATTCATTTTTTATGAAAGCTCCAAATCTCAGAGATTATAGCAAGCAATTAGAATGGAAGAAATAGACATGGCACAGCTGGAGCTGCTTAAGATAAAAGCAGAGCAAAACTCTATTATCTATTATATACCAGTTCAAAGTCTACTTATATTTCTATAGATTACATGCAGGATTTTTAAGATTAGTTCCTGTTCTTCATTGAATTATTTTGCATTTTTAAAACTATGGGGGAAGTTAGCCTTCTTGACACAATAAGTAAACCAATGACCTTTCAGAAGTTTATTATAGTTATATTTCTGGTAGTAGTTTTCAGTAATATTTCAAAATTATTTCAATTATATAGAAATGAATAACATTTCTCTGTTGTCTGTATGTCATTTGTTAAAATTCAATAAAATGTTTTAGTAAAGAAATAGAAATAAAAATAGTTTTTTTGTATTTCTTTTCTTACTCAGATGCAGTAAGCACACAAAATATATACAATAGTCACCTGTAGGTGTACAGTAGGAACTGGGGAAGTTCTCCATTTAACAATATAACATATTCTCATTACTAGCATATTCATCAGGTTGGGCAACACATGGATCCTCTCTGACTGTATTTGCATCACCATAAGACCCTCTTATATTTGCAAATGAATCTACGATGGTGTAGATAATATCCTATTTTGTCACATATGCAAAATATAGGTGTGGAAGGACTGTGTGGCCTGTTTGCAGTGGATCACAGTCCTTATAGTTCTGTGAAGGATGATCCTCCTTAAAAACAAGGCATATGCTTCAGTACACCTTGTTCATATCTGTTCAAAAATATAGATTCTTCTTCAACAGTAAACATTTTGCTGTTGTCAGCAAAATCAACTTAAAATACCAATCTCTTTTTGTTAAGATGGATATTTTTAACCTGACAAAAGCAAAGAAACTGCTGTTGATAGCAGTGCAGCAACAACATTTGGGTGTAGTGAGGTAGAATATCATTTCCAGGATAGATGGTGGGGAGAGGGTTTTATTGTGGCCCTCCTGGAAACTGCCCACCTTCAAAAAATTTATTAAAATATTCATATTTAATTCTATACCAAGATATCTCAGAGTAGCTTACAATAGTATTAAAATAGGTAAAATAGACCAAAAACAGTATTTATCTATCTATCTATCTATCTATCTATCTATCTATCTATCTATCTATCTATCTATCTCCCACTTTTCTCCCATGAGTGGGACTCAAAGCGGTGAACAGTGGTTAAAACAACAGAAATTACATGACACAAAACAAAATTGAATAAACAAATAACACAATTACAGTAATATTGTTTAAATAATCTAAAAGCATATTAAACAATATAATGAGTTTAAAGTAATAAATAACAATCTGGATTGAATTAATGAGGCGTAAAGACACTGGTGAACATATCAGTCAGGCCCCCAGAGAGGGTGTATACCATAATTGAGGTGCCACAACTGAGAAGGCCCTCTCCCATGTCCAACACAGTGTATTGACCTCACTAGTAGGACGCAGAGGAGATCCCCATCACTAGTCTTGATCTGTAAGCAGGCACATATTGGGAGACGTACTGCATAGTCATTTGTTTCACAACATAAAACAAAATAGTAAGTGGTTCATTTCAGTTCTAATGAGTTATTGGTTCTATCTTGCCTCTGATATTTTGAGAACCAGCCTGGTGTGTGTGTGTGTGTGTGTTTGGTACATGTTGCAAAAAATTCTCACTCAGCCATGGAGAGTCACTGCAGGACAATGTTGTGTTGGCTCTGTCCCATGGCAGCTAAACACCGAACACAATTGATACAGGGTAATGCATGGCAAGGTCACTTTAAAAAAGTCTTAACATCAACCAAAGTCAGCAGATATTCCAAAATCTGGCCCAGAATTTGGACTATCCCCTGACTGGGCATATCAGAGCAATTGGCCATAACTGCCATCCCATGTTTCCTGAGCAAAGCAGATATAGCTGGTCATCACTGTGTTGCGGAAGTCTCTAGTCATGACACAGGTCCTACCTGTCTGCTGTTGTGAGGGGTGGTGGGGTGGTTGGAGACAGCCACAACATGGAGGGTGGTAGGGGACAGTTAGGGTAGCAATTCGGTAGCATCAAACCATGTTCATTGTCACTGGGAGGCCAGGACTCCCTTCCATGTCCACAGTGGCTGGGAAAATCCCTGTGTGACCCATGCAAGAACGGATCCAGCATATACTATGCTGGATTGGCCCCAGATTTGGTGGTCAGTGCAGATCTGCACTCAGTATCAGAAGAAGACAATGAAAAATCCTCCTCTGAACAAATCATGCCCAGAAAATCTTGTGTACCTTAAAGTTGCCATATGCCAGAAATGACCTGAAAGCAAACAACTATTACAGCAACTTTCTTATTGTTGGCCAATATATCCTTGTTTGTTCACATTTCCATCACAGATGACGCATCTATCATTTTCCTATTTCAGATTTCATCCAATATTTTCGCCTTTTGACCTGTTCATCTTCAGTGCTTCTGCTTCACAAACAGTTGCAAAATAATTAACAAAGGGGTTCCATGTGTATGTCAATTACAGTGGGAATATTCATCATATTATCTGGTGGGGGGAACCCATTCATTTAAATGATTCCTTATTCATTTAATTTTCAAAGCTCTTTCATAAATATTGGTGCTACACCTTACGTGTGCAACAAGGTGATGTTTGTAATTATGAACGTTAATCAGTAATGGGCAAGGTGACCCTAACCTGCTTAAATCTGCTACATCTATGCAAAAAGGTGCACCGAATTGTATATAAAGATGGAACCTAAGGTGCAAAGAGGGAAAACGCCCATCTTTTGTTTGATAAAGCAAGTCAGGAGAGAGGTTTTCCACCATGGCGAACAAGAAGGCTTCATTGAAAGGTATGTCTCTTACAATTCAGAGAATTTAAAAGTTTTATTCTACTTTGCAAGAAATGTACGATCATCTCTCCATATTTAGGGTTTGACTTTTGCAAATTTGATTATTCACAGATTTGATTTTAAACAGTCCTTCTAGGCTCTCCAGTGTGACTCTATGGTTAACTTCTCCAGTCCTGCTGGAGGACCTAGAGATTTCTAATAAGAACAATGAAATTCTATGATCAGATTCTAGGAGAAGTTGACCATAGAGTCATGCTGGATAAACTTTTAGAAAAATGTTCTCTTGGGATTTTTTTTTTAAATGCAGGGTTTTAAAAATTTTCACTGGGATCCTGTGCTTCTAGCCCCAGAAAATGCAGAAGGATAACTTATATTCCTGAAAAGAAACATTTTGAGTGAAAATGTTGCCAAAACATTTATAGAAGTCCTACTAAAACAATGAAGATGAAAAAAAATGTATACTCAACTTGATTTTGTTTCTTGCTGTGCTACTTTGGTTCAGAGCATTAGCAGCTATGAAAAACTTCTTGTCTCTTAAATCAGTATTATCTACTTGGATAGATTACGGCTCTTCAGAAACACTGCAGTTAGAAGCTTTCTTATCACCTCTACCTGATGCTTCTAACTGGGGTTGCTTGAAATTGAATCTGGACTTTGTTCATACAAAACATGTGCTCTGTCCCTAGGACATAGCATTCCCCAATAATAATGCCCCCCGCTATTATTACATCTAATTGAAACTATTAATTATAAAAAAGCTTCTTCCTTGAGCATGATTGATGTTTCAAGCAAATATTGAAATAAATATGTCTAACTAATATATGTATTTTACTGGTCAGTTATTTTTGAATTTTTTCTAATATGGCCAAATATAATGGGCCAATTTACAAGTGGGTCCAGAATTATCAAGTGCTAATGTTAAAGATCATGTCATATAAATTTTAAAGTATGAGACCTTTTTGCAACACTGCACACTTGATACATTCAGAAGCCCCCTTGAAGGAATCACAGTACGCTTTTTAAAAAATGTAAGCACTTAAGACTTACACATGCAGAAGAGTTTAAATAGTCCAGCTGCAGAAAACTTGCAGACTGAATCTCAAGTCAATCAACATCTTGAGAGTGACCTAGCCACCTTCCTTCAATTTTAATTTAAATGCCATATGCTTGTAGAGAATTAAGTCGCCCCTGGGAGAAGACAGAGGGAAAGGGCTCAGCCTATTTTTGCACACTCCTGACATTTATGCAAATACAATTATATATCTATGTTTACACAGTGAAAAAGTTGGTTTTCTCACATATAGTAGTTCAATGTAATCAAATCAAGTATTAAAGTAAGAAGTAGAAAAACAGAGAATACTGTTTGTTCTCTCTTGAATTGCTTTGTTTTCCAGATACCAGTTTCATTTGTTTTTATACCTGAACAGGTGCCCTGCTGGCTATCTTGATGATGAGTAACATGTTCTTGTCAAGGAAATGTGTAACTTCTTCACCTATCTGTCCCAATGAGTCTGATAGTTGCCAGGTGTCTCTTGGGGATCTTTTTGACCGTGCTGTCAAACTCTCACACTACATCCACTCCCTTTCTGCAGAAATATTTAATGAATTTGTAAGTACTCAAGCCTTTCACAGAATGTAACTTTTAATATAATGTATTCTAAACCGAAACAAGAAAGTATGGTACCGGACAGCAAATCCCCCTGGCTATTTTGGCAAGGGCTGATGCAGTTCATCAATATCTGGAAGGTCACATGTATCCCTTATAATAGGGATATATTTGGGGGAGATATATATATATATATATATATATATATATATATATATATATAATTTATTTACTTTGCTTATATACCGCTGTATCTCAAGCCTGAAGGCGACTCACAGCGGTTCACAAGAGAGAGAGTACATGTGACCTTCCATATATAAAATCATTGGTAGCTAGCTACAGCAAAGAGATAGCTAATTTATTATTTCTGTTTCAATAGAATAGGAAACAATTTCAGTATAGGAAACAGCACAAGTAAAGGGCTAAATTGTTGATTTGTTGTTTTCCTTCTTATCGCCATTGTTACCTGAATGGTATCAAAAGTTCAACTACAACTATATGTGCTTTACTTTACTTATGAATCAATAATCAAATAGAATATTTCACTAAAATTTCTTATATCTTAATTAGAAATCTTTAATTTTTCTAATTTAATTAGTATTAACACAACTGCTATTTCTTATAATATGAGAAGATTGCTAGAATTAATGTTCAAGGTTTCGGTTTTAGGTTGGGAATAAAAAAATGACCTTCAGAACACCAGATGAATTGAACATTCTTCTCAGCAAAGAAACAATCACACATCATATCATAGTATGGAGACATTAAGTACACGATTTTTAAGGCACAAGTTTAGGATAGAAGAGCAGATTGTTAGGTCTCATTAATAGTCCAAGAGTACTGAAGGGTTCGTCTCACAGAAGTCTCCCCTTAGGAATCACAACAGTGACAGATGGAGTGGTGTGAAGGAAAACACAGAAGGAATACATAGAAGCCTTTTAAAGTAACAAGTAAAAAGGAGCAGAACCAAGCAGCAAAGAGCAATCTGAACAGACTGCTTTATAGAAGAAAAATAGTTATTTAAAAAGTGCATGCTATGGAGTCACTTTGAAGTTTGGCAGAGGAAAATTTTCATAGTAGACTATTTACTGGGGTCACAGACTGTGAACCACTTTGCAAAATAAGCCAGATCTCATTTATAAGGAGATTATGCAGAAACCTGATCCCGAAAAGTGATTTTCACCCCAGTACAGTTTAAAGGAAATTATATTTGACTCAGTCATAGAGATGCACATAATAAAGCTGATACAAAATGAATGATACAATTTGCACAACTAAAAAATAGAAAGAAAATGTGAGTTAATAGTGTTTCTTTTCTTCTATACTAACTGCAATAAAGGTAATATATGCTTATCTTCAGGATGAACGTTACACTCAAGGCCGGGGTTTTATTGCAAAGGCTGTTAACAGCTGCCATACTTCTTCCCTCACCACTCCTGAAGACAAGGAGCAAGCCCAACAGATTCATGTAAGTTGTGCCCATTTCTATAAAGAGAAAGTAAACCAGAAGCACATGAGCAGACTGAAGACAAGAACACTTACAGATATCATTCTAAAAATAAAAAGGCAGAAAGATAGGCTCTTAATGATCTTAGACAACCTAGGGACACCTCTAGAATTTAGAAGATGCTGCATATAAAAGGTTCATAGCAAAGAGTGCCACTGATGCTTTCTAGTGGTGGAAAACAAGAAAGAAGAAGAAGGGGCGGGGGATCAAAGGAGGCAGAAGGACAAGGGATAAATAGATCTGGAAAAAGCCAACACTGACTTATATGAATAAGTTTCCTAAGGAGACAATGAAAAGATATTCATTTATTTATTTAGAAACTTCAGATTCCAGGCCATGGTGGCATAGTAGGGTTTTGTATTAGAGTCACTGAAATTGTGAACCATATCAGGCTTACTCAGAAGTTTAAGGGATGGCCAAAGCAAAACAAGCCTCCTCCAAAGTAGCATAAATCTGAATATAAACTTTATTAGTCATTAGGATTTCTCCCCAGTTTCTCTGTATAATCTATATAAGACAGCAGGGAGAAGAGGAAATAAAGGGGTATAGTTTTGTGACTAACAACTACAGCTTCTGTTTACAGTAAATGGCTTTATTGGGGCTCTCCAATTGCAGAGATTGGGGAAAGGATGTTGAAATAATGCACTGCAGGACTATTCCATCTTTAGTGCTCTTTCCTAGTTCTCTTTCCAATGAGACTGAGATCCCAGATTGACTGGGAAACATAAAATCATTTTAAAATGATTCCGGAGGTACACAATCCATGGTCCAAATAGGATCTTGGGTTCATATATACCCCCAGTGACAACTAATGCCACAATGACTCATTATTGGAAGGATAAAAATACTTTTTTAGAAATGGCCCAGTTCCATGTGTAACCTCATACATACTAATTACAATGCTATCTTCTTTGGTTCTGTCACTGCAAGGGTTGAATGAATCAAATTTCAGGGAGCAATTAGAACAACAAGCATATTTTTAGATATCCATGTTTTTGTCACATCTAGTCATTACTTTTCTAGCAGAAGTGCAGTAGCAAACCTATACTACAGAAATAGCAATAACTTGCCTACTTGACTCTTAATGGTTCTCCCCAGCAGGAAACCTCCTGCTAAGATAGCTCTGGGGAAATTATGTCATATTCAAGTTCTCATAAATAAACAGGAGAATCAAAGATTTTTTTTCCTAACAGGAAGGTCTCTTTGGAACATGTAACAATCATTCATGCACATATTAAAATAAGGGTTACTTAAAATACAAAAACCAAGAATGTCAGTGCAGGACTACTAAAATCATCACTATTCCAATTATAGAAGTAGAGACCATAGCTTTCTCTTTATCATTCTTTTGTTTGTTCTGAAAGGGATGTCATATCTAGCAAGGACAGGGAAAATGGAACTGAAAGAAACAAGGCTATTTATTTATGTATTTATTATTTACTTCATTTATATACCGCTTTTCTCAGCCCTCGGGCGACTCAAAGCGGTTAACAATAGCAAAAATTCAATGCTTGACATCATAGAAAACCAGTTAAAAACGATTAAAAATAGTAACATAATAAACAGTTAAACATCAATATAACATCTCATTAGTGTCTCAAACAAAATCAAGATCCAATTTCATCATCCGTTGCTCCATATTCCTACGTTCATTGCACTGCCTATTCAAACGCCTGTTCGAACAACCAGGTCTTCACTTTCCTCCGAAATGCCAATAGGGAGGGGGCTGATCTAATTTCTGTAGGAAGGGCGTTCCACAGCTAGAACTCTGTCTACACTGTATGTTGTGTCATATAACCCAATGTGCCAGCTTTTGACATATTGAATATATTATTGATATTTGCTTTAATTTATTGAATGAATCTAAATTTTAGAATACATTTCTAGTACCCATGGTTGTAGAGGAAATTGAAACTCCTGTGAAAGTATTTAAAATATTCAGAGCTCCAATTCTTATTGACTCCTTGGCAAAATGGATTTCATTTTGAGTGCTACTGCTACACTGAATAATCAGACTTCTCGGAAATCAAAACATGGGATGCAATCCTCTCTCTATTTGTTTTGGCTAGAAAAGTGGTGTTTGAGCATTTGGACTTAGCAGGATGGCAGTTCTTGCAGTATAAGAAGCAGGGAAAGGTTGTGCCGCAGGGTAGGTGTATTTTGCCACACTAAGCAAAGTGAAAAAGAGTTGGTGTCAACATTAGAGAGGTCTCAAGGGCAGGAAAATGGCTAGGAGGGTCCCAGGAAAGCAAAAGGCCCTTTGATCTTCCTGTTCACCCCAAGCAGTGGCAAAGTTTCAAAAGAAAAGAAATCTTCCCAGAAGCAAAACACTTCAAAGGCAAATCAGACCCGTGCCTGGGCATGTTTGCCGTACTATATGTAGACATTAGAAATGCTCTGGATGAAATATTAAGTGGCCTACCACAGATTGCATCTTTCATTATGTGTTTAAATATTTTCCAGATCTCATATTTTCTTTTATTTAAGTTTTATTAATGCTCTCACTGATCATCAGATTAAACAGTACTCTGTTCAACTGGACTAAACACTGGCTTTTTTTACCAGCAGCATAAAATAGCATCTCATAATTCTAGAAAAATGTATCTATACTATGTATTAATTTTAAAATACTTGTGAAATTCTGGTTGATTAATTTCAAAACAGTCTCAAGTTCTATCTGATAAATAAATGAATTCAAGACTGTAGCAAAAAAAAATTACAAGTGTCCATCAGATTTTGCTACTTACTTCAAGTATAAAGTTTGTGTGGCAGTATTTAACAGCGTTATCTTGTGTGAATGAGCAGCACGAAGACTTGCTAAATCTAGTGTTGAGTGTACTCCGCTCCTGGAATGACCCTCTACTCCATCTGGCCTCTGAGGTACGAAGAATCAAGGAAGCTCCAGATACCATTCTCTGGAAGGCTGTGGAGATTGAGGCACAGAACAAACGGCTTCTGGAAGGAATGGAGAGAATAGTTGGACGAGTGAGTAACAAGATTCCCAAAATCCTTCTTGCTACATAGTACTCTTCCAAATTCACACACACACACACACATAACTTTGGTTAAAACTTTGCCTTTTGCTTACGAGGAAAACCTTTTTATTCATGTATAGCTAAGGCCAACATATATCATAGACATCCAGTTGTCTGACTTTCTGATTACATCAGAAGATAGAAGATGTAAAATAGATTCAGAAGCGATATCTTACAGCCAGCAAAGAGTAAAGCGTATACAAAGAATAAAGGGTATCTGGCAGACCTTTTTTTAAAGATAACGTATCCAAAATCTTACTTCATGCATGTATTAGAACCATTGTTTCTGAGCTGTACTTTGTGCTATTATCTCAATGTTCTTTAAAATAATGGGAAAGAGAACATTGAAAACAAAGGAAAGCAGATATGACAGCAGTCTGATCATTGTGTGGATGTTTATTCATAATAATATCCCACTAAGTACAATAGGGATAATTCCCAGAGAAAGTGTACAGAGGATTGCATCCACTTTCTCTAATTTCCAATGTGGGATGAATGCCAATTATCTTTAATTAGAGTCAAGGGTATATATCATATGGTCTGTAGAAACTTCACCATGTGACAATGGATAATCTACTGCTCAGTATTAGAAGCCCTCCCTAGCATGTACATTACAAATTTAAAAAAACATGCATTGCAATATTTCCTTTAAAATATCATTTTGAGGACCTGAACTTTCTCTTTTCCCATTTCATTCATCCAATAAGTAGACACATATAACCACAGTTGAGACATCAATTTTATGAAATAGACTAGAGCACTGGTATCTCAAAAACTCTGCATGTGAACCCCTCATGCTGTCATAAACTGGCAATGTATCACCAGTTTACATAATCTCTGGATTGCTAAAGCCCCAAATTTACGCTTGAAATGTCATTGTGACCAGTTCTGTTGTTGGTGAATCATAAGTCTTGTCAACTTTCCCATGTTTCCCATGCTCCCAAATCAATTGCAGAATATTTGGTGCAGCTCTACAGCAATAATATTTCATTGGAATATAGATATATCCCTAACAGCCCAGCAAATGGAGAATTGTGGAATCATAGAATCAGAGTTGGAAGACAACACATGGGCCATGTAGTCCAACACCTGCCATACAGAAAAAGCACAAATAATTAATGCAGCTTTTCTAAAATTCTTTTTTATGGTTTCCAATAATCTTCCAGTGATTTATAGTTAAATTGACTTTATTCAAATAATATAAGGTGAATAGGTCAGGTTTCCACAATTTGGTACCTTCTAAAGGCATTGACTTAAATATCCATCAACGCTTCCATTGAGAAACATTGGTCCCCGATGGTCCCAGAGACAGGAAAAAAAGGTTCTCAGCTTTTTCATACAGCCGACATTGGTTACAATCTAAGCTAAAGCTTTCAGGAAAGCTAGAAACCTTGGTGTTAATATAGGAGCTGTTTGAGGAAAAAAGAAGCCTTTTTAGAACAACCAGATATGTTTTGGAGAAGAGGGGATGAAGAAGTTCAATCTTAAGTGCTGCACACATTTTGTATCAAAATATTCCACTCTGATACATGAGCAGTTCCATTTCACCCAAGGGAGTTCTGTTTCATAATGTAACCTAATAGCAAGACATTCTCTTTCTATATATAAAAATAATTTGATAGCACTTTGCTCATTAGAGATGCAATGTAATTGAGTAATAATCAGGATGAAAATTAATTCAAGCTCTTGAAGTACAAGATTGTTCAACCTACTTTCTCCATCTGAAAGCTTTCATTATTAGGAAGGGCAAATATGATGTTCTCCTTCTCACTTTGCATGTTTTTTCTCAATTACTTTTTTGGTGTTCTGGAAATAAAACCCCTTTAAGCCAGGATTCTCTCATGTTTCAAGCTACTTGATTAATCTTCAGTGCTAATATTACAGAGCTCCGATAGACACGCCCCAGGGACTGTTAAATCTACTAAATTAACATTTTTTCTGCTCTTCCATAGGTTCATCCAAGTGATTTGGGCAATGAAGTCTATTCTCAGTGGCCAGGGCTCCCATCTCTCCAGCTGGCTGATGAGGATTCCCGCCTCTTTGCTTTCTACAACCTGCTACATTGTCTGCGCAGGGACTCCAACAAAATTGACAACTACCTGAAACTGTTGAAATGCCGCCTCATCCATGATAGCAATTGTTGAGTAGTTTTGATTTCACATCATTGAAATGACAACACCAGACTAAATAACTTGCCTTTAGCTTTGTCACTTACCAATGTACAGGATACACTTGATGGAAATCTCATCCTGTAGTTCATGATTTACAGCCATATCATACCACTTTTGTCTTTTGGATGCCAACAATCACTATAGTATCAATTATGATTCTCCCTTATCTTAGTGCGTCTGTAACTAGTGTCATAGCAATATTCAGATTAAGCAATAAAAACTAAGAAAAATGTCTTAATACATCAAAATGTGTTTGTGCAAAACTGGGATTGGTTTAAAATCTTTAGAATTTTGACTCTTTTGGTTATCAACCTAACAGGACATGTAGCTAGAGCTTGAAGGCAACTGATGCTCCCACAGGGTTTGTCCAAGACTGGGTGGATCATCAGGTATGGACTGGCAACTAGGGGCATGTCTTTATTCACTATATCTGATTGCAAACTGGCACACATTTTGCTTTGGGGAAAAACCCTCCTCTTTGATAAGGAACCAGTTTACATTATCGAACGCTTTCTCAGCGTCGACAAACAGGAGCGCCACTTCTTTGTTTATTTTCCTGTCATAGTACTCTATTGCGTCCAGTATGATACGTATATTGTCCCTTATCTGTCTTCTGGGTAGGAAACCCTTTTGATCATCTCCTATCCTTTCCATGAGTACTTCCTTCATTCTCTCTCCCAAGACACTAGCAAAAATTTTATAGTCATTGTTGAGGAGGGAAATTGGTCTATAGTTTTTTGTTTTGGTGTTATCCGTTCCCTCTTTGTGTATGAGGGTTATGTTGGCTGTTTTCCAGGTCTCTGGGATTATTCCTTCCTCCAGCGTCTTATTCATAATTTTCATGAGAGGGTTTATTAGTTGGTTCGCGAAGGTTTTGTAGTAGTGTGTTGTGAGCCCGTCGGGGCCAGGGGCCTTGTGAAGGGGTAATTTCTTAATAATTTTGTGTATTTCTTCCGCTGAGATTTTTTTATTTAACCTTTCTCTTTGCTTTTCTGTTATCTTTGTTATGTCCTGTTCACCTAGAAATCTCATTACCTCTTCTTTTGGGATCTTATCCTCCGTGTACAGTTTCTTATAGAATTTTACAAATTGATCTAGTATATCTGATGTTTTGCCATAGATTTTACCTTCCTCTTCTATCTGCACTATTCTTCGAGATTGCCTCTTTATGGCCAGTTTTCTTGCCAGTCACCTACTTACTTTGTTAGCATTTTCGAAGTAGTTCTGTTTAGCATATTTAAGTTTTTTTTCCATCTCTTCCAAGTCTAGAGTGTTTAATTGTTTCTTTAGTATTTCTATCCGGTGTAATACTTTCTTGTTTGACTGATGCAGTTTGGCTTGTGTTTCTTGATGTTCTAGTTCTCTCTTAAGTTTCTCGTGTTCTAATTTTTGTTTTTTCTTTTCTCTAGCTGCATGCTCTATAAAGTGGCCTCTCATAAAGGCCTTTGAGGCATCCCAAATAATTTCTATGGCTGTATCATTCTCCTTATTCAGGGAGAAGAATTCTCTTAGAAGTTCGTTATACCTCTTTTCATTCTTTTCCCCTTTTATTAAGTGCTCCTTCAATTTCCAATTAAAGAACGGTCTTTCACTTATATCTCCTCGAATTGTTACTAGGATTGGGGCGTGGTCAGATGTTATTATTGGGAGTATTCTAGATTTTTCTATTTTGTTTGCCATTGATTTCGAGCACCAAACCATGTCAATACGTGACCAAGTTTGGTGACGATTGGAATAGAAGGTGAAATCGATCTCCCTCTTGTGTTGCAGTCTCCATATGTCGACCAAATCTAATTCTGATAATATTTGTGTGCATGCTCTGGGAAGAGCCCCTGTTGACCCTTTGGTCCCCTTTTCTTTTGTACTTGATTTATCCATTTGGGTGTCGAGGACCCCATTGAAGTCGCCCAGGATCAGCAGTTCGTCGTACTCTTGTGCTGATATGCAATGTCTTAGTTTCTGTGCAAATTCCACCTTCCCCCCATTAGGCGCATATATGTTACAAATAAGAGTTTTACTTCCATTTACGTCTATCATAACTCCCAACATCCTTCCCTCCCCATCCTTAAAAGCCAGTTTTGACATCAGATTCTCTTTTACATAGGTAGCTACCCCTCTTTTTTTCCCCCCACTACAGGAATGATACATTTTCCCCAGTCTGTGCTGTTCCAAATATAAAACATGTTTCCTTGAGATATGAGTCTCTTGAATACATACTATCTCGCACTTCTCCTTACTTAGGGAGTGCCATACTCTCTTTCTCTTATTCGGAACATTCAGTCCGTTAACATTCTGGGTTACAATTTTTATTCTTTGATCCATTTAAAATTATTTTTTATTACCTTGTTATCCTCTACTGGGGTTGTTCCTTTTGGATCCTCGTTGTTTTGTGGGGCTCGAGGTGATTTCTTCCTCGCTCTCTTTCTCTTCTTCTTAATCCAACCTTCCTCTGTTGGGGATCCCTCCATGCTGCCTTCTTCTTCTTCGTCTTTCTCTTCCATACCTGGGGTGGCGTTCTTGCATCTTGATGGAGGCGTTTGTTGTTCTATATTATCTTCTTCCTGAAGTTTTTTCCAAAACTTTTTCGCTTCCACCTCTGACGTAACCCAGTATTTTGTGTCTTTCCATGTAATCATTACTCCCTCTCTTTTCTCCCATCTAAATCGAATGTTCCTTTTTTTCAACTCTTCGGTTAAGAAGTGATATTTTCTTCTTTTCTCCAAGGTTGTTACAGGGATTTCTTTCAGGATCGCGATCTTATTTCCTTTGTGGAGTATCGGGGATTTTGCGTTTTCTCTTAGTATCTCATCCCGTTCACTTTTCCTCGTGAAGTACACGAGGGTGTCTCGAGGTACATTGTGTTTTTTGGCATAATTAGAATTGACTCTTATAACTCTGTCGATAATCTTTCCTATTGAATCTGGGCTTGCTTTTAATAGTCTTGCCACTAGATCAATAATCGTTCCCTTTATATCTTCGTTCTCCTCTTCGCTTATATTACGGAATCTTAATTGTGATTCTCTTTCTCTCAGCTCCTGAGCTTCTTGTTGGTTTTTTAGAGTGTTAATTGTACCCTCCATTATCTTCATCTTCTTTTCCATCTCCGATTGATGTGCTTTGAAGTTTTCGTTTTCATTTTTCAGTGATTTATTTTCTTGCTTCAAGTTCGTTATGTCTTCTCTTACAGCGTTTATCTCTCTGTTTAAAGTAAGGTGTAAGTCTTCCTTTATCTCTTTCTTCATTTCCTTTAGCTCTTTTTTTAGTTCCTCTTTCAGAGCTGTGTTCTGTTTGTCGTTTTTGTCCTGCATGTCTTTAACCACACTGTGGAGTTTTGTTATTTCTGCCAGGATGTCCCTGAGATTTGGTTCTTCCGTGGGGTTCTCCTTCTTTCCTCCCCCTTTTTTTTCTTTATCTTTCTCTTTGTCCATCTTTTCTGTCCTTTTTTGTGCAGACATGGCCAACTCTTTTTAATTTGTATTTCCCTTGTTTTTCTTACTTACTCTTCCTTCTATAATCACCTCTTTTCCACGGTCTCTCCTCTCCGTTCTGGGTACCTTCGTGGTTTCACTTTCACTCTCTTCTCTTTTCTCTCTCCCGTCTCCTCTGTGGAGTTGCTGGGGTCTCGCGGGATTCCTCCGGTCTCGCAGCGTCTTCCTTTCTCTAGTGGATTCCTCACGAGGCTTTTCTCTACTCGCGAGGTCGCCACTTTCCTCTCTCCTCTGGTGGCGTGCACCGCATCTGCCCCTCTCTCCTCTTTCCTCGAGTCTGCGGGGGAGTTCTTCAATTCTTCAGCTATTATTTGGTGAGAATTTTGCTTGTAGAGTTTCCAAGTCCTCTGATCATGAAGAGTTGCGGGCGGGCAGTGGGGAGGGGGGTTGGGTGTTTTTTCGTTCTTCTATGTGGGCTCCTTTTGCGCCTTTTGCACCTCTGAGGGGGTTTGGGATGTAGTGTTGTCGACAGGGCTAGCTGCGGCCTGATTCTCAAGCCTCAGGTCTCCGGGCCTCTCCTCCTCTCTCCCCTCTCCTCAAGGGGAGTCTTCTTGTTTTCTTCTTGTTTCTTCACCCTTCCCTTCCTCTTCTCCTTTGCTCTCTCTTTACTCTTTCTCCTTTCTTCGTAGCCCGCTCTTACCCTCTACTTCGTATTTCGGCTTCGGCTTCCTTTTACTACCCAACTGCTACTCGTCTACTTCTTTGCCCGTTTGCCCATTACTTACTTTTCTCTTCTCTTTCCAACGGTCGCTTTTTATTTGGATCCTTCCCTTTCCTGGGTTTCCTCAGTTTCTCTCTTTAGGCTTTAATTATTGCTCCGTCTTCTCTTCATTCGCCTCAATTCGCTTGAATCTCTGTGTGTATATGGGTTCCCGGATTTGCGGGCTCGGCTTTCTTCACCCCCTTTTAGTCTTTCTGGCTGTTTGTTCACCTTTTAATTTCGAGCATTTTCTTTTCCTTTTTCATATGTTGTCGTGGTTGGATGGTGGCTGGCGTCCTCTCCTGGAATCACCAGGCACCTGAGTTGAGTCTCGCCCTTGGTCGAATTTGGGGGAGTTTCCAAAGGAGACTTTTAGAACCAAGGGTCTTGCTACCCCGTTATTTCCACAGGGTAGGGGGGATTAGGCCCCCAGAGACCTTCAAACAAAGGGCAGACACCGGCGAGCGCCAGTATCATGCTCCATCCGCCATCTTGCCACCACCGGAAGTTCGGGAGTAATTTTCTTTAGGTTCCATTTCTGCATGGACATAGTAGGGTGTTAACATAATTCACCTTTCAAAAAGAGTGCAAAAAATAAAGACTTGCCACTGATCCTGTGTCTTACTTTCACATTAAAAAAACAACAGGATATATGGTTACATTTACTGGATGGTGGCTGGAGCATTTTGCTCCCCAAAGATTCTCTGCAGATCTGATCAATTCTACGGTGCAAGTACTTCATCTAGTCTTTTGGACTCTTCAATGAAGGAAGGAGGATTGGCAGAAAATATTTTGCATGAAGTACCGGCTTCTGATTCTATGAATAAGGCTGTGTTGTATTTTGTATAACTAACCTAATATACAATTAAGGCTGGTGTGTGCCATTTTACTGAAAAAATACATACAAAACTGCTTCAGTCATGTGCCAGAAACAGATTTACTATAAAATGAGCAAAATTTAGTCCCTGCTCTAAAGCAGCTTAACATATGCAAGCATTCTAAATTATTCTTAAGATCATTATAAAGG